AAAAAAAAAAAAAAAAAAAAAAAAAAAAAAAAAAAAAAAAAAAAGAGAAAAGAAGAGGAGAGAAAAAAGAAAAAAAGAAAAGAGGAAGGAAGGAAGGAAGGAAGGAAGGAAGGAGGGAGAAAGAAATATAAAAAATGACTCCCCCTTCCCTCCAAACAAGCATATGCATTAACAGTAATTTAATACCTTCTCTAATATTACTAAAAAAAAGTCCTCTTCATCCCCTTTCTCATCCCTGAATAACCAAATTATGAAAAATATTCAACAGTCAATCTAATCAGCAAAAACATTAAGAGTGCCAGTAATAATAAACTATATATTTTAAGCTTAAACAAATAAGTCTATTTTGCACTTTAACTTTTAAATATTTTCTGAAAAATAAAACCTAAAAGAACTCTCCCCTTAAACATACAAAAGACCAATAATAATCACGTGTGTATTTTAAACTAAACCAAATAAATCACTTTTACAGGTATAAATCATTGTCTTACAGTCCTGGTCAGAAAAAGAAAAATCAGTACTAGCAATCCAAGATCAAAACACAGACAATTTAACCCTGATCTTTGAATTCCTTTCTCTTCTTTTTGAAAAGCTCAATCTTCAATCTCTTCTCCAAATAAAGTCCCAGATAACAGTCTCTTTTCCTGTCTATTTTCAGAGAACGTTTCAGAGATTTGGTGTTTCCCTTCTGTGGGTCCAAAATAAGGTAATTCTCAAAGTCATTCTTCTGATCCATTACAGCTTCTTTCTCCATATCCTTCTCATAATCAAGCAACTTTGAGTCCATCTTCAGATCCACAGCATCTTTTTCCATTTCTTCCATGTCTCTCTTATAATCTGGCATTTCTTTAAAGCCCATTTTAGAACTCTTATTCAAGTCATCCTCAGCTGCTATTTTATCCAGTAAAGACTTTTCTTCTTCTACAACCTCTTTTAGTTCCAATTTTAAAAATAGTTCCTGGGCACACTGATTTCAAACAGCTAAAAATTCCTCTTTGAAAGAAGGATACTCCTCCATTGTGTTAAAAGAGATATATTTCCTTTAATTGGTCTCCGTTCCCTCTGACCTTGAAAGCTCAGTCTTATCTGGTGTTTATTTTCAGAAGCAAAA